GGTTCGATCCTCAGCACCACATACAAACAAAGATGTTGTGTCTGCCGAGAACTAAAAAATAAATATTAAAAAAAATAAAAAAATAAAAATAAAAAAGAAGTCCACAGTTCCCTTGAAGCACCTGCTTTAAGCTATGACACTTTGAATTAATGAAGGAATATTTAGAGAATTACTGAAACCTCAGAAACTCTCCAAAGTACAACTTTTTTTCCCCCCTAAAGAAAAAGCTAATAAATTGGCCGGAGGTTAGTTTGGAATTTTCTGGACAGTGATTCAGCTTGCCTTCAACAGGAATTTGGAAAGGCAACTGAACAAGYAAGAGTGTCCCTTCTCTTCCAAGAGCCTACTTTAGAAATGCCTGCAAGGCCGTGGATGAGGAGGACTTGCTTGGGGAATCCAAGATTTCTAGCTGGGTCATTGCTTCCACCATTTCAAAGAGGAGAGCTGCTCATGGTCTTCCTCTTAAAAAACGGCAAGTTTTCTTGGCCTCTCAGGAGGCATAGCATCACAGGGTGGCCAGTACCTTGCCAGGGAATTCTTGCCTGCTGGGAGGGATAAGCCTCCTGAGTAATTAAAGTCTAGAATAATTAGTGAAGAACAAAAGACAAAGAGTCAGAAAGGACCGTTTTAAAGAGTTGGAGCCCCTGATWGGTCCAGTCCACACGGGCCCTGGAGCTAGACMATTAGAAAATGGCTTTCCATCAAAGGCRAGGGTAAGGTTTCAAGGGTGGAGTCTTGCATCCTGACATCTTGCAGTCAGCAGGTTGATTGGCATCTTGGCAGGTCAAACCMATCTCAGGGGGCTGTGCRGTTGGGTGGTTRTAGCAGGTCACCCCATCTCTGGTGSTGTGTGGGACCAGGCATAGYGGAATAGGGCTSAGATGTGTCTGGACAGTCAACCAGAGGAAATGTCCACTGGAAGTTCCCAGAYACCAGATTATCCTATTCWCTRGTCTGCSATGAGCAATACAGTCCACAYACAACTCACAGGCGACTCTCAACAGTATAGTGTTATTTAGAAATGTGACATATAGATGTTTTATTTAGGGGGTGGTGGGGACAGTAGGGACAGAGGAGTTTCCAATGCTCAACCAAGACCTTCCCATTATGTTGGAAGAGGAGAGGAGAGCTGCTCATGGTTTAGTTTCCCCTACTGTGGAGGGGTTGCAGATTCTGGTCCCTCTGGCCCTCTTGAGATACTACTTCTGAGCTCCCCTAACATCTCTACAAGCTTCCTGCTATGGAACTGTCTCCATGGAAACACTCAAACTCAGTGGAGCTCGGATCCATCCTGCACATATTAATTGAATGTCATGCTAGGCTATAGGAGAACAGAAAAGAAACTCTAATTCACCCTTTCTGACAGCTTGTAATTTTACCGAGGGGACAAGACCTACTRAGGCACCCAACAGAGAAGAGCGGAGAGCAAAGAAGGAATAAATGTTCATTGCGGAAGCAGCAGACCCTGGAAAGGTCTTGTGCTGTGTTGGCAACCCCCGTTGTTGCCCTCTCCTCTCAGTAGTGGACGTCAGCCGTCAGGTGATGGTGACTGTGATAAGTTTGTGAGYGATCCCTGTAAAAAACAGCCACAGTGATGTGGTAGGAATCTAAAAGGACTCACCAGGTTTGGATACGTGACCTGTGCGTACACGGTGCTCCCTGGAGAGACTGATGTGCACTCTGTGTTCTGTAGAGGCTCTGCTGTTAAGACAAAGAGGCACCATCAGTGGCAGAAGGACTTTGGGACTGCTTCTCCCAGTACCTTGCCTTTTCCGACCACTTTCTGTCCCCAAAGAGGCAATTGTCCAAGCCTCCCCTTTCCTTAGGGCTCACTTGGACAGTTTTGGGTTGAACCAGAACCTTCTTAATCATGTGKTTTTTTCCTAATCGCCTCTCTTGAATGGGGAGTGGTCTTGAGGTGCCCTTGGGCTTCAGAGGTGTCCCCGGGCTTCGTGTGTGAATGACTAAGTAGCACTATCTACAGAAGAGCTGGAGATGCTGGGAGCAGAATGTAACCAATTATTTCCCCGAGGAAACATTATTACACCTTCACAGGCCCTTAAGGTGAATTCGATTATATTAGAGATGAGGAACTGCAGGCCCCCAAATCTCCAGACTTGTGTGAAGTCACATGGGAAGTGATGGAACAGGAACTCGAATGTGTGTCTTCTGACCCCAGTCCTCYGGCTCTTTCCTAAGCACGATATAGCGCATCTCTGACTCAAAGCCAGTTTGAGCCCAGAGCCTGTACTTGCATCTCTAGATCACACTGTCTTTTTCCACCGTGTCTATCCATGGTCCAAACCCTGGTTAACCAGCAGTGATGCAGTCACAGGCAATTTGGTTTTGAGTTTTGGATGCTCATTTTTTTTTCTCTGCTCAGAATTTTCTGGGTGCAAATGGACGGGCTACCAGCCCTTTCACTAGAGCAAACTTMTGCATCAGAAGGGACGAGAGGGACTCCGATCTCACTAACTGTGTGAGGTCCATGGTGCGTGCTTGTGAGCTTGCACCGCGGGGTGCATCTGAGTAGTGACATTCTGACTTCCTGCCAGCCTCCTTCCTCTTTCTGTCATCTTTCCCTGCCTGCTTTATGATCAGCAGTTTAAAGTCTGGGTGCTCACCAGGATGCTGAGTTTGCTGAGTGTGCAAAGGGAGGGAGCCTGAAAAATAAATAAGGAAATTGAAATGTTTGAGAGAGGCCTTTTTATCCCCCACCCCCAATAGGTGCCTCTCTAGAGGATGTGGAGGRAGGGGCCCCAAAGGAAGGGTAGGTGGGCCAGTGGATCCTGAGGCTGGCTTCTAGTTCTCCCAGTAGGGCACCTCCTTTAGGATATTAGCAGGTGCTCGGTCACACCCCTAGGATCGTCCCTGCATAGCTGAGCTAGRGTTTGCTTGCTCTCCACCCTTCACYTGTTTTCTGTMAGAGATTCTTAGCAATCAGAGGCCCCAAACTCTAAACACCTGCAAACCTGGGAGGAGAGACAAGGAGGGAGAAAGTACACCTGCCTGTTCGGTTCTTCCAAGCCCGTGAAGCCAGTGCACACGCAATGATGAGTATGGCGAGGAGCAACGAAGCCACCAGAATTATAATCAAGGTTCTGACCCCGTTTACATTTTTCTTAACACCTGAAAAGGGRAAAAAAAAAAAGAAATGGRRCTTYTTCAGACACCTAGAGTGAGTACTAGAGTGTTTTTCTCGGGGCCCTCAYAGAGTCTCTTGGGTGCATCTGTACCCAGAGTTCTGGGACTCTGGCAGGATCCTGGATGGTGAAAGCCCTGCTTTCTGAGTCCTTCCCCCACGGCCCCCTTCAGAGAAGGGCTTGCAGAGGAGGAAGGAGGAGGGAGAGACTAGGAGGTAGTGAGAAGCACAGGGCCCCAGAAGCTGCCTACCACCGCACCCTTAGCTGCAGTTTGGCTGCCTCCCACTGCCGCTGTTTTGGGAATCTTGTAGGGTGTGGAGGACATGGCACAGCCCACAGTTGCTCAAGGCTCTTAGAGACACCTGAGGCTGACTGTTACCTGTGCAGAGACTCTGGGCAGTGACCGAGGWCGATAAATTGCTGACGGGGTTCTCGGCTATGCAGGTGTAGTTCTGTTCGCTGGAACCCACGGGGTCCCAGGAGATAGTGAGGTTTGGTTCTCGTAGAGAGCTGTTTTCTGAGAGCTTCCACCCGAATGAGACAGTATCATTTGGATTCTCCAGAGAGCAGGTCAGGTGGATCTCACAGGTGCTGTTCCCAGACAGTTGAGTGTGATGGGTAACTTGTAGGTTCCTCAGTGGTCCTGGGAACAGAGAAGAGATGTGGGTTAAGGAGGAATGACTCAGTTCAGACTGCTCTAAAAATGACTCATTGCATTTCTGTTTTGAAATTTCACTTCTGCTGTATACTATGRCCTGTATACTCTAAAAGAGTCTCCTTGTATCATCTAATTGATGGTAGGGTGACCGATGAAAGAGACTTCAGTATGAGACGGAGTCACCGGGAAGATAAATGGGAAGGGAGAGACTAYCTGGGTAATTTGGGAATGGTCTCTCTACCTTTCTGGGCTCCAGATTAATCCTCGGGGTATCTTCTGATCTGTGAACAATACCTCTCATAAAGACAATTTAGAGACTGGGGAGCACATAAATGCAAATATATTGTCATTTTTTAAAAAAAATTATTTTGTAGTTGTAGATGAACAGCATGCCTTTATTTTATTTATATATATATTTTTATGTGGTACTGAGGATCAAACCCAGTGCCTCACACAAATGCTAGGCAAATGCTCTGCTACTGAGCTACAGCCCCAGCCCTACATTGCCATTTGAATTGACATAAATGCAGAAATTTCTGAGACCAAAGACTGGAAAGTGTTGCCCAGAAGAAGCCGCTGTTGCCTCGAAGTGGCAAGGAACCAGTGGAGACGTGAGAGCAAGACAAAAAAAGGCCCTAACCTAGTCTTGACCTGGGGATAGAAGTAAARGTGATTCCACAAAGAACAGAATGGCTCTGACTCTCTGGTTGGAAGAGACTGAGTGATGCTTTAAACTTAATTAACTGAAGGGTGGGGGTGTCSCTCAGTGGTAGAGGACTAGCCTAGCATATAAAGGGTCCTGGGTTTGATCCCCAGCACTGGAGAGAGGGAGGACTTAACTGAGAAGTTATGGAATTAAATGTACTTATAACTTGCTAGAATGGAGTTCTTATGTACTGGAGGAGTGTAGGATTTGGAGCCAAGAAAATCTGGGATAGGATCATGGCTTTATTGTTTGCTGCTCACATGACTATGGACAGATTATTAATATCTCTAGGTGGTGGTTTCCTTCTCTGGAAAATCAGGCAAKAGTATCTACTTCTCAGGTAATTATGAGCATGAAGGGAGGCAGTGCCTAGCACAGGGAGGACAAATAGATGGCATGAATGTCATGGCTTTTGTCCATGGCTGACYTCAAAAATATGTCCTGCTACTTTTTCCCCACGTAGTGAATATACACCTGTCTATTTGACATTTACACCTGGATATGAGTATATCACAAACTCGGTGTATCACAAAGTCTAAAAGGACTTCTGTTTTTCTGTCTAGAATCTATTCAATCTGTACCCTTCCTTCCCCCACTTAGGGATAATAATTTCATTCCCTCGGGCCAAAAGTCTCTGGCATTATCTGTGACGCATCCCTTCATCTCATACTCAAATCAAAAAGGTTCTGGTGACTTGTCCTTMACATATATCCCGAATCCAATCTCTTCTCACTGCCTCTGCTGCTACCACACTGGTCCAAGCCAGCGCCAACTCTTGCCTGACTTATGGCAACGGCTTCCTTCTTGGTCCAATGGCTTCTCAACAGTGGAACCAAAGGTATTCTTTAAACAAACTCAAAATCATACTGATTATTTGCAAAACYCTCCAATGGCCCTCAATGTCACGGACAATAGAAGCCAAAGTCTTTGTGGTGACGCTCAGGACCTTGCCATGTACATCCCCCTATTTCCGTTCTGACCTTATTTCCTGTTACTCCCTCTTTCACTCTGTTCCTCGTATTCAGCCTCCTGGATGTTCTGTGAGCATGCCAGGCACAGGGGACACTTGCGAGGTGTGCCCTTCCTCCAGATATCGGGATGGTTCGCTCTCTCACGTCAACAGACCTTGCCTCCTATTTCAATGAGGCCTATTCTGATCATGCTCTTTAAAATGGACTCCTGCTTCCTGGCACTCCTGGAGCTCTTTATGCCGTTCTAATTTCTCCCTTTTCCCCATAGAACTCATGGCTTTCTTACATACACTTGTTTATATAGCATATGTATTATTTATTACCTGCCTCCATTCCCTATCCAGAATGTCAGGGGGCGGGGAGGGATCTTTGTGTRTTTTGCTCACTGATGTATTTATTCTAAGTGGCTAGAAGAGTWCTTGTGCATTATTTATGGTCCACAYTGACCCAGTAGATAAACCTAACATGACTTCAACATCTTTTTTTAACACTAAACTCTGGTCAGTCACTCTTCATTCACTGGTATTGGCTTATAACATTAATCTCTGCCATCCTTATCCTCCTGCCTAGGGACGATTGGTCAATGTTGAAAAAACAGATCTAGCTATTGCATTTTGGAAATTCCTTTTCACTCTTTGTAAAGCGAATTGCTGTAGCTTACATATCTCTTTGTGTGTGATCTTTTGAAGGAGAGATAATACGAACCAAAAAAAACCTTTAGGGTAAAAAGCCCTGGAAAGGGATTGGCATGGAGTCCCAGGAATGTGGTTGTGGCAAGAGAATTCATGCTTAGTTTTCTCCACTGTGTCAGGACATTGCCTTGGCAATGTTCTTGGGCTCTCCATACTGTGAGTCTCACTTCTCTTCGGGGTCTTAGCACTGCCTTGATGGTTTACTTGATGATCAGAGAGGGTGATCCTGTCTATAAAGGCTAAAGATACCTCCCAGAACCGATGAATATTACCTTATTTGGAGAAAGGGCCTTGCAAAAGGAATGTAGTAGATAAGGAGGTAATCCTGAATTTTCTGAGAGGCCCTAAATCCAATGATGAGTGTCCTTACAAGATAAAAACAGAGGGGATATTTGAGACAGACGAGGCAAAATCACAGAGAAGAGGGGAGTGATGTGGCCCCAGAGACAGAGAGTGGGATGATGAGGAATGCAACCAGAAGCTGGAGAGAACAGAGTCTTCTAAGGCCCTCCAGTGGGCGTACACTTCTGACCACAGCTGGATTTGGGACTCTCAGTCTTCAGAACTTTGAAAGAATACGAATACATTTCTGTTGTTTTGGGTCTGAACAGCCTCAGAAAATGAATACCTTGACCTGGTACCATTTTGCCCCTTTAGTTGGAATCTCTCGCTGAGAATTTTTCCAGACATCCTTTTTCCCTCCTACAACATTTACCTGTTCCATGCCATATTATTTCAAGGACATGACTTTGACTCATCTAACATGATAGACTCATCAAATATCCAGGGACTGTGCACTAAACGTTAATGAGTGTCCTATTTGTAGAGAAATTCTAACAATTTTTTTTGAGATAACATCTCTTAATCCAAAGGCTTCCAGGTGAATTTAAGACCTCGTGGGATCTCTGATAGGTAGTAATTATACAGTCTCAGTGGTCTTTAAAGTTGCCTAGTCTGGTGGCCAACTTAATGCTTGAACTCCTTGTAAAACACCTCTGGGAAGTGATTTTTTGAAAAATAGCCTAAAGTCATTTATGGCTCTTTGAACATCACTGATTACTATATATTTTTTTTTGATATAAACTTATACATGATCTCATTACAGTTTCCTTAATTCTATGTTGAGGATATTTTCACTGTTTCATCTTGGGGAGGCATTTTTCCCCCCTAAAGGTCAACATGAGCCATCTGGGGAAAATATTGTTAAAGGTCAAACAACATTGACAGAAAAGACTTTTCTCTTTATTGCCTCACCCTCACAGAGCACTTCCTAAGGTCGACCACTGTTCTGCACACAGACCCCTCTCTCGGGTCAGTCTAGGCTTTGGGTAAAGTGAAGTCTTGTGGCAGTCTGGTTGGGTGGGAAGTGCTATCACATACCGTCTCTGTGACTGTAGGCAAGTTCCTGTATAACCTTGTGACCAAAGTGATGCCTCAAGCAAAAGGGTTGCATCTCCTGGAGACTTTGTGAGGGTCACACGCCAGATACATGTGGCGAACATGTTAACGGTATTRTAAATATTTCACGTCCATCAATTCTACTACATTTCTGTTTGAAGGGGCCCTTTTTTATTGGACAGGGGGAAGGGAGGTGATGCTGAATGGACCGCCAGAAGACAGATCTATTCTCAGCTCTGCCACTATTTGGTTGTGCCGTGTCATTGAGTCGCTTCTCCACTGGACCTCATTCTGACTCCAAATACCGTCCTCTTTACCAGTAGACTAGAATACACACTTGCAGTCACATAGGATTGAAAGATCTAAATTTTTTTTTTTTAGTACGTATAAAATGAAACCCCACATTTAGACTCACTGAAGATCCTCAGAGTGTAACAGGAAACCGTTGGAGAAGGTTCTGTGTTTATCTGGGCTTCGTAGGATCCTGCRTCGGTCATCGTCAGGTTGCTGAGATGCAAGGAGTATGTCTGGGTGAAGTTCAGTCGCTCTTTCCAGTTTTTAAAGGGCACCACGTGTTGTAGCTTTCCTGATTCATCGAGGTGTATGTATGCTGCGTTGATTCCATTGTGATTCCAGCTGATCACGTCGGCTTTCTTATCYGCAGGAAAGTTCAGGAGGAGAGTGACTGACTTCCCCAGAATCCCRTTCACCATCCTTGGGGGAGAGGTGCATCGTGAAACTGCTGCATTCCCTGTAAATACAGAAGGAAAGGGCTATAAAACCGTCCACGGCCATCTTCCAATTCCTRTGCCTCTTCCTCCATCTCTGACCATCTGTTAGAGCTTTTTTCAAACTAAAGCCCAGAGAGAAAATGGGGAGAGAAAGGGTTAGGAGTCTGACAGTGGATGATCACAGCCTCAGTGGCTCCACCTCCAGCAAAACATCTGGCACTCTTGGTGGGTTGGCAGATGATCCTGGCCCCGGGCCCACTTCTACACTAGCTGGTCATTCCTGGGCCAAGACCATACTTCATCATCCCGGCCCCTGAGTATCGCCAGCTAGCCAGGCTGGTGACCTGAGCTGGGTTCACAAGAGCTGGCTACACCGATGACTTGATAAAATGGCGAAGAAAGCTCGMAAGCACACAGAAAAGACCTTTTCTAAATCTGAGATGGCTCTCGACCTGAGATGGAAAGAGAGCGAGCCACCTGAATTCTTTTTATTTTTTATAGGGGGTGCACACCAAAGGAGGTTTTCAATGGAATGTTCTTTCCAAATAAGGCAAGGGGGCAGGTTTCAGGGGGTTGAGTGTGATGTCTTGCGGTCAGGAGATGGATCGGCATCTTGGCAAGTCACRCCTGTCTCAGGTGCTGTGTGGGAACACAGGCGTAGCAAGAGCAAAGTGCACGTGTGGGTGGCATGGCCCAGAGAACACGCAACAGTTGTGTTGCAGGCCAGTCCTCCCATATACTCAAATGTGCATCGCTCACCTACACAACCCATGGATGGCCCGTGAYGCCTGAGTCCTTAGGCATCAGGTGGTGAGGGACATGGAACTACATCAACTCCCTGGCACAGACTCCAAAAACTTCAAGTCTTTGCTGATGAAGTATAATTACAGCTGGGCATTTACTGATTKCCGACTGTCCATATAGTATGCTTGCTTAATTTAGAGGATTAATAACAGATTTACTGCATACATAGTTTTCCACKTGCATTATTTCATTTGATGCCAACTACAATTCTTTGAGGCTAATAGATTGGATTATTATTTCTACTTACAAATAAAACCTAAGACACAAAAGTTATCTAGCTTTCCCAGAGTTACATGGCTCAAGAATAGTAAATCAGCATTCAAACCTAGGTCTTCTGACTTCAACTACTTTTATTATTTTCCTGCTCTCAAAAAGATTTCAGCCTAGGGGCTGGGGCTGTAGCTCAGTGGTAGAGAGCTTACCCTCGAACATGTGAGGCACTGGGTTTGATCCTCAGCACCACATAAAAATAAATAAAATAAATAAAGTGAAGATATTGTGTCCATCTTAAAAAAATCTTTAAAAAATATTTCAGCCTAGTGATTGAGGAGTTAAAACTGATAAAAAAAWTTTTAAAGTAGCACATCATGGATGCATTCTCATAAGCCCATTTCAGAGACCCAACATTTGAGCCAAAAGAGTGAAAAAGTCTTGATTCTTAAAGACGATGTTTGTGTCAATGAATAAGTCACCATAATCAGGGCTTCTTGGGATCTTTTACGTCTAAAGGAGCTGAGTGTGTGTGTGTGTGTGTGTGTGTGTGTGTGTCTGACACTCAGCTCCTAGGGGAGCTTGCATTTCTGTTTCCTTTCCTGAACTGTCACATGGATCCCATGCTGCCATCATCATTCCCCTCTGCAATACATCTTTCCCATCAGTAATTCAACCCACTGTAATTTGTGGTCATCTTCAGCCCTGATCCCTCTGGGAATCATATGGGTGAATATCACCTGCTAAATCTTTTGTTTTATCTTGGGGTTTATTTATTTATTGACAAGCAAAATTTTGAGCCACATTCAGTCACATACACACACAATGTTATGATCCCATTTATGTGAAGTTGTAAAACAGGCAAACAAATCTATGCTGTTTCCTTTGGGAAGGAGGGAGGTGAATAGAAGGGAACATAAAGGGGGGGGGTCTGAGGGGCTGGTGATGTTTTGGACCTTGACCTGCGTCTAGCTATATAGGCATTCATTGTGTAATTCATTGAGGTAGTAATGAGGATTTGTACAGTTTTCTCTTTGTATTTAGAAAAAAATCAAAACAACAACACAGCCCAAATGAAACCTAAACGAAAGAAATAATTTCAATAACCCATAAAGACTATAAGTGATCTGGCCATTTTTCTCTTTTCCGTCTAAATTTCTGTCATTCTCCTTTGTTCATTTTGCTTCAACTTGCTTGGCTATTCTTCAAAWAGACCAGGGATTTGCCCTTGTAATTACCACTGCCTGAATGTACTTCTTCCAGGTAGATATACAACTCATTCTTTTGCCCTTCATAATGTCTTTAATACAAAGGTTCCCTCTGCAAGAGGCCTTCTGTGACCATGCTTTCTTCACTATCAACCTCCACCCATACCCAGCTGCCTTTGGGCTTATTTCTCTCCATAGTACTTATCATGTGGTATATACCAGGACACACAAATGTGCATTGGTTTTTCTTCCTCCCCTCCACAAGTTCTTGTGGTGGTTTGAGTCTGAAATGTTCCCCAAAGCTCCTGTGTTAGAAACATGGTGCCCAGGTGCAACAAGGTTTGAAGGTGGGTCTTTCAGCAGTGACTGGGGTCATGAGGGCTCCATCCATTGATAGCTGAATGGACTATGGGAGGTGGGACCCAGCTGGAGGAAGTAGCACACTGGGGTAAGGGTTTCTCTATTTCCCAGCCCCCTTCTCCTTTCTCTCTCGCTCTCTCTTCCCTCGCTGCCATGAGCTGAGCACCTTTCTTCCTTTGCATCCTCCCACCRTGATGTTTCGACTTGGAGCTGGTCAAGCATGGACTAAATCCTCCGAAACCGTGAGCCAAAATAAACCAAAGTTGTTCTTGTCAGGTATTTTAGTCACAGTGGTGAAAATCTGACTCATACACAAGGATTTGCCTGTCTTTTCCACTGTGGTGAATATTTGTGGAGTGAATGGACACATCTCTATCCCTCCTCTTGGGGGTTCTCTGTCCAGGATGTTAAGCTAAGTTCTTCTTAGTAAAGACGCTAGATTTATCTAGTGGCTCAAGTACTTACTCACCAGGAACTGTGCCTCTCTGGCATGGCATACTCCTTTAAGATCCCTTGCTTTTATAGATTGCAATAATTAGTTTATTTAACAAGTTATTTATTCTATTATTTGCTCAGTTCTATGCTAATTCAGTGAGTAAAAATTTAGAAATGAGGGCATGTAGACTGTATTTATTAGTCTGTATTTCTGTCTCTTTGTTGTAATTATGAGATTATTTTCCTCCCTTTTCCATAAACTTGAGAGAAAACATTAWGCTTATTTTCTCTGGATTCCTAGTACTTAGCACAATTTCTAACTTAATAGATATACTTGTTTCCATATTTCACCCACTGGATGATATGTTTCCAAGAATATGAATAATGTCCTAGCACTTTATTTCCCCAGAATCTGGTCCAGGGGATTCAGAGAAAGCTAGGTAGATTGAGATTAGAGTGTCATTTCTGAGAGGAAGCCGGGGTAGGGTTCAGGAGCACAAGTCGMGGTAAAAAAAGAAGGAGACTAAAGATCTCAAGAGATTTAAATGTAAAAAGGGCAGTAAGATTGATATATTTCACATAGMTTGTCTTTAAAATTATAAGAGAAGTAGATCTGATAGGTCCAGGAAGAAGATGGATGCACATGGATCATTCTCCAAAATAGATCATAGTTTAGGTTGCAAAACAAATCTCAATGAATTTTAAAAAACTCAAATCATGTCTTCTCTGATCACAAAGGAATAAAACTAGAAGTCAAGAACATTAGAAAAATTGAAAAATTCATGAATGTGTGGAAATTAAGCAACATTGTCTAAAACAACTAATGGACTAAAGAAGAAATCACAAGGGGAATTAGAATGTATCTTGAGACAAGAGGAAATGATGAAAACACAGCATTCCAAAATGTATGGGATGCAGCAAAAGCAGTGCTCAGAGGGAAATTTATAGCTGTAAGTGCTTACATGAAACATAAGGAAGATTTCAAATTAACAATGGATAATGTCGATGAAATAAAAAAATTCCTAGAAACACACAAACTATCAGGCATATGAAGAAATAGAAACCTAAGAAAACTTTATGATAAGAAAAGAGATCCAATCAGTAATCAAAAACCTCCTGACAAAGGAAAGCCAGATGGGGGAGGATCCAAGATGGCGGGCCAGAGAGAGGCAGCATTCTGTGTCACTTTGTGACCTGAGATTCAAGCAGTGAGAATACTGCTTCTCTGCAAGCGATATTCCTGCTCCCACACAGGAATCGTGGTCCTGGGCCCTTCCAGTGACAGAGTAGGTCTCCCAACGACTTGCCTACATAGGACTACCAGGTACCTGAGGGAGACCACTGGTGGCAGCAGCATAGGCACAGAACTTTTGACCACCCACCTGAGCAGAAATCACCCAAGCTGCTCCCACATGGGACACTCAGCAGCTTCCCACGAGTAGGAACTCCAACCACCACTCCCATGTGGACTATCTACCAACGTGAGGCTCCTCTAGTCGCTGCCATCTTGGRACTCTGCAGCAGAGGGGATAGTCCCCTACACGMAGTAGCCGGCCTGCACCTGGGAACTTCAYACAGGCTCTGAAGTCAGCCAATAGCCATACACTGCATGCCACAGAGCTTGTCTCTCACATCATCACCTGGATCCCCCCACCCGACCCAACGCCCCACCACTGAAAGCAGGTGCCTCCATCTTGGGCCACCTTCAGCACCATCTTCAGTGGGGTGAACTCTGGATGGCCAGGTGCCCAGTTTCTAACTGCCCCCCCTTCCCAGCAGCTGCTACCCYRGCACAGTGACCCCCTGATTTCCTTCACCKTCCTGAGCATGGAGATACCAGGTAAACAACAGACGACCCCACCTACTGGATGAGAAGGGAAGCAGAAAAGATACTGATCTTCAAACAAAACAAGCCCTGTTTCTTCCTCAAGATTTTTTTTCCTCTCCTTTCCATCTCTGTTCTCCCACCTTCCCATCCCCAACATATGTGAAACCAAGTACTTTAAATGAATTAGGATTTTGAGGACTGGGACATCTGAATAGTACATGACAGTTGTGTTGTATATTCTTTCTTTTTTTCCCCACCAATTTCTACTATTTTAACATTTTTTAAAATTTTTCTTAGTATATATGTATGTTTATTTTAGTACTCTACTGTCTTCCCACTTACCTGTCTACCCAAATTACTTCTTCTCCCTTCTCCTGCTACTCATCTTCCTCTTTAGATTTCTCTTTCACATTTCCTAAGATATAATAACTCTTTATCCTCATCTCCTTCCYCCTCAGCATATCATCCTGCTCCTCATCCCCAGTTCTTTGTCCRCCAYCAGAAACTGTAAACTCTTTTACAAACCTACTGAGTACATTGTAGATAATAATTGAATCCACCATTTCTGTGCATTGTGACCAAACTGTAAATGTTTTAATAGCAAACATTTGTTTTAAGAAATAGACAGATACTACCCTGCATTCTATCAGATCATGGAATGAAATTAGAAATTAGTGATAAAATAAAAAAATAAAAGCTACTACAACACCTGGAGACTAAATAATATGCTACTGAATAAACAATGGGTTGCAGAAGACATCAAGGAAGAGATCAAAAAGTTCTTAGAGGTGAATGAGAACACAGATACAACATATCGAAATCTCTGGGACACTATGAAGACCATACTAAGAGAAAAGCTCATTGCATAGAGTTCATTCCTTAAAAGAAGAAAAAGTCAACAAATAAATGACCTAACATTTCATCTCA